AGAGGTAACTGATATTTTTTTCGCCAGACAGAGAGAGAGAGACATAGAGACAGAAAGCGAGAAATCACCCCCCAGGGGGGATGGTCACGCCGCAATCCCTTCTCCTCCATTCTCCTCTCAGGATCTTGGGCACGCACGCACATGCGCCCGGTGTGAGTTTTAAGCCACCGGGTCCGGGACACGAATCGCGGTCGACTATGTGGGAGTCCAGCGACATAGCCATTACGCTAACTGCTGGTTCCCTGGAAATTTTTTTAAAAGAAAGTAAAAGTTCATAAGTGTATTATTAAAAAACTGCATGGATTTCAAATTATTTTTTGCACCAAAAATAAACGGATACTTCAATTCCATTTTTCCATGAACTTTTTAAAGTCCCCTTCTCTAAACAGTTATTCTCTCGCACGGGGCCATGTGCTCGTCTTTCCTGCACCACCCCACCCATGGGTCCAGCAGCTGTTCAGAAGGATGGGCAGGTACAAGACTAGCTGGCTGGGGATGGAGGGAGCCATTGTGCCACTTCAAGTGTGACAGGAACCAGAGGATAGATAGGTCACCTCTGCGTACACAATTCCTGTATCGGAGCTTGGGAAGTGGGGGCACGCATGTGAAATCGTTCCAGCCAGGGAGGGTAAGTCTTCCAAGGAAGATAGGATGTTTCTGTTTAGTGTTTTTGTTTTGTTTTTTGACTAGAGGGTGTGTACGCTCACTAGAGAGAAAGAAGGTGAGCAAGCACCCCCCGTGGGGTATGGTCACACCCCAGTTCCCTCTTCTTCGTCTCCTCCCTTCAGGATTTTGGACATGCATGCTCGTGTGCCTGGCATGTTTCTCAAGTCCAGGGCTTGAACCATGCATTTGGCCTGTGGGATCCGGCTGCCTTAACCACCATGCCACCAGCTGGCCCTGTTTGTTTAGTTTTAACAAGACAAGAGCTGCTGGTTTTCCTTTCTGATCCAGGACAGCGTGACCAGCTCGTCCCTGGGGTATTCCCAACCCCAGGCTCAAGTAGCAGAGGGTCAACGGGCTGCTCCGTCTGGGCCGGTAGCTAAGTCTCTTCCCTAAGTGCCTTTGCTAAGTATCTTTGGTCTGGAAAGGCAAAACCAGTCCACAAGCCAGAGTCCCAGAGCTACATGGAGCACGGCCGTAGGGGAGGGAGAATATTCTGAGAGGTCTGAAATGGACCTTTGAAGAAACGTTAATAGAATGTGCTTCGTGACACTCAGACAAGGCTGGCTGGGGCTGGCCGAGGACACAGCTACAACTGCGGTCTCTGCAGAGACAGGCGGCGAGAGTGTTCAGAGCCAGCTGGCAGGAGCTGTAACTGCAGACCCAGAGTGCAAGACAGACAGCGCAGCAGGGAGGGCCTGGTCGGGGCTGAGGAAACTTCCTGGTGATACGGGATTAGGCTCTCAGGGCGGAATAATGGAAAGAGGTAACTGATATTTTTTCCAACTCTGAAATTTAGTCTTCCAGAGACTGTGAGTGTGTGCGGATGAACTAAATGTCTTTTCCTGTCTGCAGGAGTCAGGTTGGACCGTTGCAGTCCCTGGGGAGGAGTAAGGAGGGTCAGGAACTGTGGTTGTATTTTTCTGCTTGTCTGAACAAAGTCGGCGCAGGAGGCAGCTGTTCCTGTGGCGATGACGCTCCTGAGAGGAGCCAGGCCATGAGTGTCTGTAGGGGTTAATGTTACAGGAGGGAGTAAGGTGGGGCTGAGAAAATGACAATGTGAGCCTCAGCCTGGGGAGGCCAGAGGAAGCCTTTCATTCCCTCCAGATGTCCCCAACAGTGGCCCTGCCGCTGCCTCCTTCCTCTGGACCTCACAGTCCATCCAGGTCTTGGGTCCTGCTTACTTCCCTGTGTCCCTTTAAAGACAGGAGCCTTGGGGACCAGCAGCTGGAGTCATGGTTACGTCGCTGGACTCCCACGTAGTTGACCGCGGGTGGAGTACCAGACCCAGCGGCTTACAACTCACACCAGGCGCGTGTGCATACATGCCCAGAATCCCAAGAGGAGAGTGGAGGAGAAGGCGTTGTGGTGTGGCCATCCCCCAGGGGGTTTATCACTTTCTGTCTCTCTCTGTCTCTCTGGTGAGCACAGGTGCCCTATAGCAAAAATCTCTCTCTTTAAAAAAAAAAAAAAAAAACCTGGCACCTCCTGGAGCCAGCAGGTGATGTAGTGATTAAGGTGTTGGGCTCCCACATGGCTAATTGTGGTTCAAGTCCCAGGCCTGGCAGCTTGAAACTCAGGCCAAGTGTGTGTGCGTGCATGCTCAAAATCCTGAGAGGAGAAGGGATTGCAGCGTGGTCATCTCTCCTGGGGGGTGGTTTCTCACGTTCTCTCTGTTTCTTGTCTTCTCAGTGAGCACACACACCCTATAACCCAAAAAAAAAAAGTTCTTGTCTTTTTTTTTGAGAGTTCTGTTTTGTTTTGGTTTGGTTCTGGTTTGGTTTTTTGTTTGTTTTGGTTTGGGTTTTTTTTTGTCTTTAGTTTTTGTTGAAGGGTGCTCTTGGCGAGGGGTGAGAAAAAGTGAGAAATCACCCCACCCCAGAGGATGGCGACAGCACAGTCCCTTCCCCTCCATTCTCTCCTTGGGATCTTGGGCGTGCTCGCACACGCAACCGATGTGATTTTCAAGCCTCCAAGCCCAGTACTGAGACTGCGAAGTTGGCCCGGTGGGATCCAGCTGCCTTAACCACACACTGCTGACCCAGGACAGGAGCCCTTTTTAAAACTATTATTTATTTAATTTGATTTATCATCGTTATTATTATTATTAATAATAATTTGCTATAAATCATGCCACCTGAGAGAGACAGAGAGGGAGAGTGAGAAAGCAAACAGCCAGGTCCAGGACTTGAACTGTGGTCAGCCATGTGGGAGTCCAATGCCCCAACCACCATGCCACCTGCTGGCCCCAACAGGAACCTTTTAAAGACACACAACCTATGTCTTTGGGGGTCCTGGATGAAGCAAGACATACTGAGGCTCTGGAAATGGTCGCTTGATTGAAGAAAGTTGGGACAAGGCGGGTAATGGAGAAACCCACCCAAGGAGTCGGGCCTGGGGGCTGGCCCAGTCCCCAGGTCAATGTTGGCGTTGGCACAGACCCAGTGGGACGGCCCTTTGCTGTCATCCCTCCCTCCCCTCAGGCTTCTGGTTAAGACAGGCCTATCAGCTTGCAGAAAGCTAAGGAGGGTTATTCTCACCCCAACACTCCCTAGGTAAAAGATGAGAAGAATATTCAGGAGGTGTTCGACCTGAGTGACTATGAGAAGTGCGAAGAGCTGCGGAAATCCAAGAGTAGGAGCAAGAAGAACCACAGCAAGTTTACTCTTGCCCACTCCAGACAGCCCGGGAACACGGTACGTTCGCTGCCGCCGCCTTGGCCACCAGGACACAAGGCTCGGAGGCGCAGGGCGAGCTCTGTCCCCTTCTCGAGTTCTCTCAGCCTCCCTGGCTCAGGGTCCCTGAGGGGCACTCCTGCTAGCCTTCGTTATTTCACCTGATAGCATTGTGGCCATGTCTTTCCCCCAGACAGACCAGCCTTTAACCTGCCTAACCACTGAGATTGAATTTATCTACCCATCTCTCTCTGTATTTTTCTCTCTCTCTCCCTCTCTGTCACACACACACACACACACACACTCATACACGAGGGAACTTCAGAAAGCTCATGGAAAATGTTATTAAAGAATGAGTTTGTTTTGGTGCAAAAAATTTTGAAATCCATGCATAGTTTTTTCATAATGCACATTTTTCATGAGTGTTTTGAAGACACCCCCTCCCATACATCTTTTGGGAAAAGAATCTCTGGTCCCTGTACACTGTTAATGGTCAAAGTTCTGAAACGAATTCCTCTATTCACATTCCATTTTTCCAGATGTCATAAAGATGTTTATTGTAATTCCTGTCCTTCATCAAGCCTCCTCTAATGATCTCCACTGCCATGTTAGCACTCACTGCCCCGCTTAGCTCTTCCTGGGTTATTTCTAAATCGGCCTCTGAGCGGTGGCATTTTGCAGGACCAGAGATGACGGTATCCTTAAGCTCTGGGTGACTCCAGGAGCTAGCTGGGATTAAGATAATGAGATGAGACTAACTGACTTCTCGCTGCCACGGTGAGGCAGCAGCTCTAAAACCCTGGCTGAAACAAGACTCTTCCCCCCACAGGCACCCAACCTGATCTTCCTAGCAGTGAGTCCAGAAGAGAAGGAGTCATGGATCAATGCCCTCAACTCTGCCATCACTCGAGCCAAGAACCGCATCTTGGATGAGGTCAGGGGGCTCACTGTGGGGCAAGGGGCAGGCAAAGCAGCCGGGACTCGCTGAAGAGGGAGGATTATCATGTGGCCCCACTTCCTTGTCCCCCATCATTTACTAACGCTAGAGAGAGAACACACGCGTGCACCAAAGGGTGGGGGCCAGCACCCCCCACCCCCCGTGTGGCCTGGTCTTGTCTCAGCTCCGTTCCTTCTTCCTGTCAGGATTTTGGGCATGCAGGTACAGGTACCCAGCATGTTTTTCAAGCTGCTGGGTCAGGGACTCAAACCATGATTGGCCATATGGGATCCAACTCCCTCCATACATCACTTAACCACTGCACTACAGGGCTGACCCCCTCTTTGTTTTATGTCTCGAAACCCTAGTCCCCTCCTCTCGCTAAGTCTTTCCTGCCCACCCCTTCCCCCACTTCACGATGCATAGGCCGGCCTTGCCACAGCTGAAGGGGCCCCTTCGTGTCCAGTAAGTCCTTCTGCCCCTAGATTTGCTGAGGAGCAGTTAATGGCGTGGGCTTATTTTCCAGTCCAGCTGTGTTTGGGCCTTGGGGGATGCTGGGTTGGGATGGAGAGTCTCTGAAGAGCTCCCATGACTCACAACTTGTCTCTTCAGGTCACTGTTGAGGAGGACAGCTGTCTCGCCCACCCCACGCGAGACAGGGCAAAAATCCAGCACTCCCGCCGCCCCCCAACTCGGGGACACCTAATGGCCGTGGTGCGTAAGATTACGAGCACTAATTCCATGTCACTCCGTCTCAAACAGAACTCTGTACCAACAGAGGCATTTGTGGGAGGCCTCCTTGACCCCAGGAGCAAAGACTACGGAGTTCTCTCCACCCCGCACCCCTGCCTGATTATTCTGAATCATGGATGTAAAAGGACTCCTCAAAGTGTATGGAAAAGTGTGTTTATTTTTGGTGCAATTTTAAATCCACGCATAGACATTCTCCGTGAACTTTTTGAAGTCCTCCAGTATTTATTCAATACCTACTATGACTTTGAAAGTCCCTCCTCTGAATAATTTTAATTGTCTTTTGAAGAAAGATAAACCCACAGGAAAGTGAAAAATAGAAGCGGTGACTATGTGCAGTGTGGTCTGGGCTCCTGTCGCCTTGACGGGGAACAGCACTGAGCACCGCAGGCACTCAGAGGAGCTGGTGGGCCCCTGGACCGTCCAAAGCAGGGCTTTCTGCATTCATCCACAGGCTGGGTCCCTAGGGAAGGAGGCAGGCGTAGCAGGCAGAACACAGGCATTAGAGTGGGACAGAGCCTGAGTTGGAGCTAGCTTTGTGATGAACTATCCCTGAAGCCACATGTCCCCGGCTGTAAAATGGGTCAGTAATCGTGCCTGCCTGAGGCTGCTGTGAGGAGCGGTACTACACAGGGGAGGTGAACACCCTCGCCGCCTTTTTTTTTTTTTTAATTACAGTATTCTGGAAATAAGGGGACAGGGTTGGAAGCCTAGGGTTCTGAGTTTCGAATGGCGGTAGGGGCTGGGCCCTGGCAGATGCAGATGGAGAAGGCAGTCTTCCTAGGGGGCGTCCCGTGGGACACACCCAGATTTATGCTTAGCGTCCACACCACAGAGGACCCACAGAGGACGGAGACCCCCTTCCAGAGCTTGTAGGAGAGTGGAGAATGTGGGGAACAAGCAGGAGACAGTACTTTAAGTCACAAAAACACTTTTTTTGGGGGGGAGGGGGGAAAAGTTTTTGCTATAGGGTACGTGTGCTCGCCAGAAAGAGAGAGACAGAGAGATAGAAAGTGAGAAGTCAGCCCCCAGGGGGGATGGCCACACCACAATCCCTTCTCCTCTCGGGACCTTGGGCACACACGCACATGCGCCCAGCCTGAGTTTAAGCCACCAGGTCCGGGACTCGAACCACGGTCGGCTACATGGGAGTTCAGCAACATAGCCATTATGCTAACTGCTAGCCCCAGGTCACAAAAATACTTTAGAAGATCAAATCGCTATCAAAGAAATGAGAAGTCATGTCAAGGAGGGAGACAACACAACTGGGCCCTGCCCTTCAGGCAGCTATTCCTGAAATCCCTCCTGGTGAGTTTGCTCCCTTCATTCCCACTCTCCTTTCCCCCCACTCCAGGCTTCGACCTCTACCTCGAACGGGATGCTGACCCTGGACCTCATCCAAGAGGAAGACCCTCCCCCTGAGGAGCCCACGTCCTGTGCGGAGAGCTTTCGGGTGGACCTGGACAAGTCCGTGGCCCAGCTGGCGGGGAGTCGGCGGAGGGCGGACTCGGACCGCATCCAGCCCTCGGACCGGGCAGGCAGCCTTCCCCGACCTTGGGAAAAGCCAGACAAGGGGGCCACCTACACCCCCCAGGCTCCCAAGAAGTTGACACCCACAGAGAAGAGCCGCTGTGCCTCCCTGGAGGAGATCCTGTCTCAGCGGGACGCCACACCCGCCCGCCCCCTCCAAGTGCGGGCAGAGCGGTCCCCCGACCGCACCCCCCCACACCCCGGGCAGCTGTCCCGGATCCAGGACCTGGTAGCACGGAAACTGGAGAAGACTCAGGAGCTGCTGGCGGAGGTCCAGGGACTGGGAGACGGGAAGCGAAAGGCCAAGGACCCCCCTGGGTCTCCCCCCGATTCTGAGTCAGAGCAGCTGCTGCTGGAGACAGAGCGGCTGCTGGGGGAGGCGTCGTCGAATTGGAGCCAGGCAAAGAGGGTGCTGCAGGAAGTCAGGGAGCTTCGGGACCTGTACAGACAGATGGACCTGCAGACCCCTGACGCCCTCCGACAGACCAGCCAGCACAGCCAGTTCCGGAAGAGCCTGATGTGAAGGAGGGCAGGGTCTGTGGCCTAGCGGGTGGAGAGACTTTTATCTCCAAGTATCACAGGATAAAGCTTTTTTATTTACCTCAATCCAAAAACAAAAACAAGCTGGTTGCCATTGCTGATGCCTGACCGACCCCCTGTACCCCTCTTCCCTGACCTGCTTTTCTTGCCTACCCTCCTCACATCTGGGGAGGGCTGACTCCCGTGCCAGTACTAGGAAACTTTCACTTGGACAGAGGGAAGGACATAGCCCAGCCATTTCACACACACTCTGCCCCCACAACAAAGTTGTGACTTCAAAAAGTTGGTGGAAAATGGATTAAAGTACAAGTTTATTTTGATGCAAAAAAAAAAATTGTGAAAGCCATATGTACTTTTTTCATCATACACATTTTCCACGAACTCTTTGAATACCCCCGCATACTACTGTCCCAGGTCTGTGGACAGGCTTTTGAGTTCAGAGAGAGAATTCAGACTTTCTCCTGGGTACCGAGGTTCTCCATCGGAGGGCATAATTTCAGCTGCCCAGCTCTAAAGTTCTCGGCTGTGGAGGCCAGTGCCACGTGTCCACACACTCAGAAGTGATCTTCATCCCAGCCTCAAAAAGGACTTGGGGAACTAAAATCCGGCCAACCAAGCACTGGCTTCTTATTGTAGAATCTCTTACTTGAGATTGAGCGGCCTGGATGTTCTGACTTGGAGTGTTTTTCCCTTCAGCTCCCACACCCCACCCAAAAATGGACTCCAAGATCCAACCTTCCGTAGAGGGGACCCGCTTGGTCACTTGGGAGGCCTAGCACAGGGGAACTAGGGCGGCTGACCCCACAGAACTGACTAAGAATGAAACTGCTCTGTGGAGCAGGCTGGGTAGGCCGAAGGGGAAAACCAAGCCCGTGTCCAGGTTCCTCTTTCGGCCAAGCTCGGGCTTCCTGTGGCCTCTCCCTCTCCTTCCTCACACCTCCCTTCCGAGCCCCAACTTTAGACAAACATCTTTCTGCTCACACCACCACCCTTCCTGGCTGCCCTGGGACTGCAGGCTCCCTTACCTTCTTTCCAAGGTGGGCCCCACACAGCTGTTGGGTTTGCCTTCCTCCGCCTTGCTAAGGTCAGGTTTAAGCGGTGATAAGGTCCAGTGAAGGACCGTGAAGGCAAGGTAGGATTTCTGAAATCGGGAGAGAGCACCTCGTGACTGAGTGGGGCACTGATGTGTACTCCTCTTCCCTGGACTTCTCCCCTCCAAGTGTCAAGACCTAGAGCTTCGCCTGGGTGAGGGGGAGAAGGGAGAGGAAACGGGGCGGCGCTGTGAGCTCCTGGCCACAAGGCTGCCCTAATGGGACGTGGGAAGATGAGGGTAGCAAAGAGAAGGGAACTCCTTTGAGGAAAACAGGCCCTGCAGTTCCCATTTCTGCTCTGACGTTACTCCCATACGTAAGCACCTGGGAATTTCTCCAAGGAAAAGCATCCCCAGGAGGGAGGGAGTCTTGCTCTTAGCTACCCACTGCTCACTATCCAAAGATGTCCCTAGATCTGGCCTGGGGGTTCCTAGCCTAGACTGTTCCCTGAAGAACAGGTGAGCAAGGTCAAGTGCAGGAGAACATCACCTTAGTGTCATTCCCAGGCCCTCCTAGGGTATGAGGTGAGGACCTGGGTCTCCGGTTTCCCATCCTCCAAATAACTCAAAAACTAAACATGGTGGGAACCAGCAGTTAGCGTAATGGTTATGTCACTAGACTCCCACGTAGTCGACCACGGTTCGCATCCCGGACCCGGTGGCTTAAAACTCACGCCGGGCGCGTGTGCGTGCGTGCCCAAGATCCCAAGAGGAAAATGGAGAAGGGATTGCGGCGTGACCATCCCCCCTGGGGGGTGATTTCTTGCTTTCTGTCTCTCTGTCTGTCTGGTGAGCGCACAGACCCTATAGTGAAAATCTCTCCAAAAAAAAAAAAAACTAAACATGGTCAGCCGAGCCACCGTCCAAATACTGAAAGTCTGGGGTAACAATACAGATTTTTTTTTAAAGATTTAATTTATTTCATTTATTATCATCATTATTTGTTTAACTTGACCAGAGAGAGAGAAAGGGAAAGTAGGAAAGCAAGCCTCCAGGTCCAGGACTCGAACCGTGGTCAGCCATGTGGGAGTCCAGTGCCTTAACCATGCCACTTGCTGGTCCCGGTACAGTTTCTTTTTATAAGTCTCCATTTTTGCATTAATTTAATTTTGTCAGCATTTCCCCTTTTCTCTCTTTTTCTTCCTTGTTGCTTCTACATAGTCAAGAAAAAGACGAAGCAGAAATGGCGTATGTATCCCAACACGCCAATCATCTGTTGCTTCCAGGGGAGCCAGAAAGTGAAGGGAGATACCAAAGGAGAGTGGCAGGTGAGGGGAGTGGCAGGTGAGGGGAGGCAGAGAAGAGATTAGGGTCTCAAGAGAGACTCAGAAGAGCTGGGTACTGGACTTCAGGCTCTTTAGGCATCAAAGCCAACAGCTTCCAGTTCTCCAGAAATGGCTGGAACATCCAGGCCACAAGGTGAGGAAATGAGCCCAGCTTTGAAACCAGACAGATCTGGGTTCCAATGAGGACTCTGCCACTTTTTGGCTAGGAGGCCCTGGGCAAGATACGAGGTTTGTGAGCATCGGTTTTCTCATCTGCAAACTGCAGGGTTGTTTGGGTTGGGTAAAGACACTGTCTGAAAAACACCTGCCAGTCAGGTACCAGCTGCTGTGTGCCTGACTCTGGGCAGCACCGGGCAGTTGGGAGGTAGCACAGTGTTCATTGCTGCCACTTCGTTCTAGCCGGCCTAGGCTCTGCACACCCTCTCTTGAAAGGAGACGGTGCATTAAGTACTGTGCTAAGGCGGAGCTTCGAAAAGGGGAAAAGCATGATCCCTGGTCTTCACAAATTTCAGAGCTTATCACAAAGTAGCTCCCCACTAGAAAAACAGCTTGAAGTCCATCCATGCGGTGGGCCACCAGCACAATTTCCGGGTCTGCTAGAGCCTGTGCACTCTGACTGCACCCCCACCTCCCCGCAGCACTCCCTGCCTCCCTCCAGCATTCCAGGCCCTTTCCGGGCCACACTTCACTCACCTCCTCCCAGGCACTGCTCCTGGTAGAGGGGGTAGACCATGTAGGGAAGGAGAGCGTGGCTGTGTGGCCAAATCTCTGCATGGCTGCCACGGACGTTTTCAGGGTATACCTATCCTGCCCCTCCCAACAGCTCGGCTATATTCTCTTACACAAATGAACTGGAAAAGGAAAGCTCCTCTGGGAGGGCCCGGGGTGGGGAGATGGAGAAGTGCAGAATGGCACGGTGAAGTGGGATGGACAGTAGAGACCGGTAAAGAAAACGCTTAGTTCATAACTCAGTGACATTTCCCTCCACTTTCCCCGTTCTCCATTCCGTTAAGCAGAGGTTTGGGGAGCTCACAGAGGCCCAGTCCTGATGTGCCCCCGAGGGGAGGGATGTCTGAGGCCTTAGCCTGGGAAGCCGATGAGTGCATCAGCACGTGCGTTCCACAGCACAGCTGTAGCTTGTCTAGGGCGAAAAGAAAAGGGCAAGGAAAAAAAACGAGCCCAAGTTTTCTCTAACTCCATCTCTGGCCCTCACAAACCCTGCGTGCTAAGCCTGCAGCTCTGTGCTAAGCCTGCAGCTCTGGCCGGAGGGGAAGAGCTCTCGCCTCCTTCCCCACCCTCTCCCCCCACCCCTCTGCCAGCAGTAAATCAGCACCACCCTGAACCAGTCCCAAAGAATCTCCCTCCTGTCTAGACCTCACGGGCAAGCAGACCTAGCCCCTTCTGCAACCCTCCGAGCTCGCCTAGTGCCCATTGCAGCTCTGTGCTAAGCCTGCAGCTCTGGCCGGAGGGGAAGAGCTCTCGCCTCCTTCCCCACCCTCTCCCCCCACCCCTCTGCCAGCAGTAAATCAGCACCACCCTGAACCAGTCCCAAAGAATCTCCCTCCTGTCTAGACCTCACGGGCAAGCAGACCTAGCCCCTTCTGCAACCCTCCGAGCTCGCCTAGTGCCCATCCCCCGCCCTCCACCCCAAGCCTGGTTCATTTCTTTTTCTGCTTTCTTCCTACCTCCCAGTCTCCCAACAACAGGAGCCAATCCCCTTCCTGCTCGAGAGCCACACCATATATGGAGAGGTTGGAAGGAAACTCGAGTAAATGCAGGAGGGAACACACACACACACACACACACACACACACACACACACACGAGCGCGCACGCACACGCACAGCAGACTTTGAGCGCCTTTCTGCACGTGACTCTTTATCTGCCTGTGTGACGCGAGTCTCACCGTCCCCTGTCCCTGGCTCACCCCACACACCAATGTGGAACCTGTTTGCTATTCCCCAGCTTTATGCATGCCCCCCAGGGAGACCATCACTCCACGTTGCCTCTGACCTAGATTCCCTGCACTAATTACAAGACTAACGAGATCTAACAAACACCAACTTAGCGCAGCTGAGACCCTCGAGGTCAATTAGTGCAGCTCTGCTCCGCTCAGCAATCGCCGGAGCCAGAAAGTATGGTGCGTGCCTCACCCCGGCACCGCCCAACCCTGAAGTGGGAAGCAATTGGGGGATAGGCCAACATTGGCAGGACCAGTTTAAAAATAGGATCTTGGAGGGCAAATTGCCTTAAGGCTGAGGAGCAGTGGAGAACACAGATCCGGAGTCCAAAGTTATCCGAGTAGTAGTGGTGGGTGCGGCTACAGAACCGATGGACAGAAGGCAGTTTTTGCAAAGACTCAGCATGAGGAAGAGCGACTGAGACAAGCAAGTGGCACTAGAACTCCTGGTCGCATCATGGGCCCTGACTCCTCCTCCCTCCTCTCTTCTTTCCCCTTTGGACCACTTGGGGTTATCTGGCTATCTCTCAGGCTTCCACCCAGCTTTGGGATCACTCAGAAAGCATTTTCTTCCAGAAATACTAGATTCACCCTCATGCTTGCTTTCCCGTCTCCCAGATATTAAAACCAGGAGACTACAGAGCCTCTTCCTCCCAAGGTTTCTTTCATTAGGTGGCAAAACAAGGTAATGAAATCGCGTCCTCTCCCCACTCTCAGGTTGCAGCCCAGTCACCTGAACCCCCTATGGAGGTGGAAGTGGAAGGAAAGGGGAAGTG